TTTGAGACAGGGTCTCACTTGTCACCCACACTAGAGTGCAGTGACAGTATCATGGTTTGCTGCAGCCTCAACCTCCTGAGCTCCAGTAATCCCCTTGCCTCAGCTTCCTGAAGCTACTGGGATGACAGGCATGTGCCACCGTGCCCAGCTAATTTTTGTATTTTTTGTAGATAAATAAATAAATAAATAAATAAATAAAAACAGGGTCTCACTATGTTGCCCAGGTTGGTCTCGATCACTGGGCTCAAGCGGCTCTCCTGCCTGGGCCTCCCAAAGTGCTGACATTACAGACGTGAGCTGCTGCACTTGGCCTTGGCTACCTTTGATAGAGGTCTGGTCGGGGCTGACTGGACTTGGGACTAGGGTGTGCTGTGCTCTAATCCAGTGTGGCACATGGAGGCAGGAGAACCCCAGACACCAGAAAGTCAGGTTCTCCTTCATGAACTCATAGGATTTTCAAACCAAACAAATTTCAGTTCTTTTTCCACCTGCCCCTCCTCTGTACCGTGTGCCCACCACAGGCACCAAGCCCCCCTCCCGCCCATCCCCAGGCGATTGCTCCCCTCCCCAGATTACCTCCCCTCCATGGCCCACTCCCCTTCAGCAGCACAGAGGAACCAGAACTTCTACCAAGCCTGTGGATAAGCCCCATTTATGTTTTAAAGTTTGGACTAATGTTTTGAGCTTCTCAAAATGGGACAGGTTTTTTCTCTTGCTGTTGTTTTTTGTTGGCTTAAGAGGGAGGATGGAATGGGGTGGTCTGGGCCTTTAAAAAAAGACAGAGCATGCTGACTCTGAATAGGGCTTTTCTGTGCAGCAGCTTCACTAAGAAGGCTGCTTTTCCTAAACCCAGCCAGTCCCAGGAGCAAAGGTCAGTGAAGACAATGGGGTGGGTTAGGTAAGCCTTTCCCCCTCCTTCCCCAGCCTGTCCCAAGGGATCCATCAATGGCCTTAGGATGCTGGGCCTCAAAAAGGAGGGCTAGCCTTGAGAGGCTCCCAGGCAGATGACCCAGGGGTGGGTGAGCTCTGCCAAGCGCTTCGCAGTTTGCCACAAAGATCATCCCAGTCCCAACTCCATTCTGTTCAGAGCTTCCAAATGGTCCCAGGAGGCAGACCTCGGCATCTCTGTACCTTAGGTGGGGAAACTGGGGCTTGGAGTGGTGGTGCAGTGACTTGCTCTGGGTCCTGTGGGGCTGGAGGGGGGGCCTGGGTTGTGTCTTGGGTCCCTGTGTCAGAGTTCTGAGCCTGTGGCCCTGTGCCCACTGCCCAGGGAGTGCCAGGGGAGTGGTGACCTCTGCCACAGGGCACCTCCTCCCAGGACGCCAGGCCCTGGGCTTCATTCCTGCCTCCCTGCGTCCTGGCATGAAGGAGGGGTGAAGCCTGCGGGGGCTGTGCCTCTACCCCTCACTTATGCCTGAGGCTGGCTTCCGACCACAGTGGTCACCATACCAGCACTCTTGCTCAGACCCGGCTCCAAGTTCCCAGACCAGCACTTGATACGCAAGGAAATCAGTTATTGCTCTTAATCCGTTTTCCACCCGTGGGGATTTTCCAATCCGAGCCCGTGGCCTTCATTTGTGCAGAGAATTGGAAGTCTGTTAGGAAGTTCCTGAGCCTCCACGGGGCTCTGCTTTCTCATCTGCAAAGTGGGAAAATGTTACCAGCCTT